TGGGTCAATTGAGTCCATTCATTTCAGTAGTGGATTTTCCTCTTTTTTTATATTTACCATTGTTCAATTGCAAGTAATAGCTACTCACAGTGAAATATAGAAGTAGAAAAATAATATTAATGAAAAAATTCATCAAGGGGATCAAAGGAAATTCTATACCATGATTATAATTAAACCTAAGAGCTTAGAACACCTTATAGTATGAGAAGATTTTTTTTAGCTAAAAATAAACCATTTCCCTTGCTACAAATCATATTCTCTTTAGTTAAGTTTTTCTTTACATTGTTACTACTATCAGTACAAAACACAATTTTAAATCAAACACTCCTTTAAATCAACTGTAGACGTGCATGTGTGTCTACACATGTAAACATGCTTGGGCAAAAACACACACCAGGGAGGGGACCTAGAAGGACTGTGGAGCTATAATAAAGACAGTGAAAGACTTTTTTTAAAAAAACATATTACAAATTGATAGAACAATGGAAGCAAGTGAGTAAGTTTAGCTTAACAATAATGAGAGGTGCAGTACAGGTCACACAAAAAAAGAGCTGATGTGCATGATATGAACACCCATACAATTCATTGCAGCGAGAGGCCAAGCCAGTGTGGTGTAGTAGTTTGAGTACTGGACAGTGCCTCTGGAGATAAGGGTTAAAATCCTTGCTCAGCCATGGAAATCTACTGAATGACCTTGGACAAGGCACATTATCTCTACTTCAGAGGGAGGCAAAGGCAACCCCACTCTGAACAAATCCTGCCAAGAAAGCCATGTGATAGGTTCACCTTAGGATAGCCATAAGTCAGAAACAAATTGAAGGCACATAACGGTACAAGTTAATTGCAACATCAGGATGCTATAGCTAAACCTATAGTGCAATTCTGTACAGCCTACTCAGAGCAGTTACTTGATTGGTAAATAGCATTTCTGAAGCTAGGTAAAAGAGTAGGAAAACATTTTCCATAGTGTTATATTTATGATAGTATGTATACACAAACATGTCATCACCAGTAGACGCTTCAGTTTTCAAGTTATGACCATCCTTAAGGGAAGCTGCTTTAATGGATTTAAGTTTTCCTAACCTCAAGCACTCTGGATTGTCATTTGTAAACATATGGTGCACTGGGCCATGACACACCACACTTACTTGGCAGTCAATTCCATTGAAATGAATTAGTAGTTGTGTTCTTTCAAGTTGTTTTTGACCTATGATGAAGATGAACCTATCATGGGGCTTCCCTGGCAAGGTTTGTTCAGAGGAGATTTCCCTTTGCCTTCCTCTGAGGTTCAGAGAGTGTGACTTCCACAAGATCACTCAGTGGGTTTCTAAGGCTGAGCAGGGATTCAAACCCTGGTTTTCAGAGTTGTATGGCATGACACCATGCTGGCTCCCCAAATAAATTTAGGCATGAACTAAAATATGAAATATATTGTGCTCTACAGAAAACTTGGATTGGTTTCAGCAAATGGAAATGAGGATTGCATCTTTAAAGTGAAAATTAAGATACTTTAGGCCTTTGCAGACTGCCAGAAATAGTGCACGTTAAATTGAGGCACTGCCCTGGCTCAGTGCTAGGGAATCATGGGAACTGTATTTTTTTCTGAGACATTGAGCCTTCTCTGTCAGAGAGCTCTGGTGCCACAGAGTTTTGGACTACAACTCCTACACACCTTCTCATGATGAATGAGTTTGATGGGAGCTGGGGTGGGGGACTGGGGTGTGTGCATTTGGAGAGGCAACAGCTAGAAAATTCTGCCTTCTAGCTATATGCTAGATGTTGAGTCTTTAAATTAAAATAGAAGATGAACTTTCTATTGAATAATTAGTGATGTAGTTTCAAAACAGCTTACACTCTTTCATACCAGGGCATTAGAAAGTCTCCATTCTGTACCATGAAGAATGACATGTCTCTGATGATCTCTGAATTATATCTCCATCCATAATATAGCATAAACATACACTTAACAGTTTGGAAGATCAAACCTTTGGAGGGAGGGAAAAATGAAAATTACTTTAGGTTTTCAGTAATGAATCTTTTGTAGGCAATCGTTATGCTGGCCTTCTCTTTAAAAGGCACAATTTATATCAATAACCACATTGTATGTATTACGCCAGGTTTCAAGACAGAACAATGACAAGTTAACCAACCACTTTTTAAAATAACATTTGCTGCCCTTTATGAAGTTAACAAATCTATTTTTCAAATTTCAGTCATTTAAAATATGAAGAAAAAACCATTTGTTCATATGATAAAATGCAGCTGTTGTGGCTGGAATCAGACTACATTTTTTGTTAATTTGATTATTCTGAGATGATTGATAAGATTAATTAACTCTAGCTTGATTCAATGATCTTCACAGAAGGGATGTACAAACTCTTCCCTGCTATCACTTGTATGAGATCAGTATGTCATGTAGAGCATGTGGGGAAGACTGCATCTTCCTCAGAGCTTTAGAAAGTTACTTATTTAGATTCCAATTTCCATGCTGGCTGGGGGAAGTTCTGAGAGTTATAGACCAAAATAAGTAATTTTTCTAAGCTGTGATATTTCTTCTTTCACTGTCTCACAACACTCCATCTTTGTTGTTACGTTGATGACCAACCCAGTAAGTACTCTTCCTAATAGCGTAATAGTCACCTTCGTTTTTCAATTTGAGTGGGATCATGTAGAAAATAAAATGTGAAATCTTATATCATGTGGTGAGATTTGTCAGATTTCAAAGTCCTAAACACCTCATTATTACCTTTAAAAATGTAAAACTGGGCAGCATAAGATACCATGATTTCTGTATTGTCAAATAGATGTCAATGATCAGTATCTAGGTTAACTAGTAGAGCAATAGAAGGCAAAGCACATCACAGGTTCACCTGGTGAGGACACGAGAGAGAGCCTTCTCGTGACTGCTCCTGCCCTCTGGAATGCCCTTCTATAAGAAACAAGGCTGGCCCCCTCCTTTTGCCGGCAGGCAAAAATGGCTCTTTTTAGGCAGGCTTTTAATCCATAATGCAAAATTATGGGATGGATTTTATATGCCTATTGTGGTTTTAATGTTTGTATTTTATATTGTTTTAGTATTTTATGTGGCTTTAATGTTTGTATTTTATATAGTTTTAGATGTTTTAATTGTTTTATTGTAATATTGTTTTTTAGAATTTTATTTGTGAGCTGCCTTGGGTCCTTTCATGAAGAAAGGCAGGATAGAAATAATAAATAAATAAATAAATAAATAAATACAGACACTTGGGAAGGAATCTATCATGTCTCCCTTTCTCTGTCATTAACGATTTCAGATGGTGGCAGAAGGCCATTTGAGAGACACTGCTTATGTTTCAGTTCCTAGTAATTAAGTTCATCCTTTCTACTGTCAGCTGAGTAGTTTGACTGAAGCCTTTTATTTATAAGTAGGGCTGCACAGCTGATAGCATTCATAGTCT